AACCCGCGGGCTCAGGCAATCCACTCACCTCAGCCTCCCAAAGGCGCGGGATTACAGGCTGAGCCACCAAGCCCGGCTCACAATTTTTTTTTAAAAGGCACAGACGAGATGATACATAAAAGATAATGGGTGGGCCATGCACAGACTAAAATAAGTGCCAAATTCTGATTTGAAGCTGCCACCAAATGCAGCTGTACAACTGGAGTACATCAACTCACCTGCCACTCACTGATGGGGTTTCTATATGAGTTTTCAAAAAATGGATTTATTATGGTGATTTATTATGGTCGCTGTGCAGTCAAACCTCACTGCTAATGTTAATCAGCAGCCACTCCCCAGAGCTAGTCTCCTAGTCTCAGCACCACCTTAGATCATCAGGCATTACACTCTTATAAGGAATGTGTACCCTAGATCTCTCACATGCACAGTTCACAACAGGGTTCACAATCCTATGAGAGCCTAATGCAGTGGCTGATCTGACAGAAGGCGGAGCTCGGGTGGTAAATACAGATGAAGCTTCACTGGCCTTCATTTACCTCCTGCTGTGCGGCTCAGTTCCCAACAGGCCATGGTTGGCTTGATGTATCTTCCTGCCACACAGGGAAAAAAAATGTCTTCTTTTTCTAAGACCATCCTCTAACGATACTGCCCTGTTCTCATTTTCAATCAACAAATAATGTCTGTCTACAAAATTAAGTAAACTTTTTTTTTTTTTGAGTTGGAGTCTCACTTTGTCGCCTAGGCTGGAGTGCGGTGGCATGCTCCTGGCCACTGCAGTCTTGACCTGCTGGGTTCAGGCGATCCTTCTGTATCAGCCTTCCAAGTACCTGGAACTACAGGTGCGTGCTACCACGCCCAGTTAACTTTTTTTTATTTATTGTAGAGACAAGGTGTCACCATGTTGCCCAGACAGGTCTCGAACCTGCAGGCTCAGGCAATCCTCTCGCCTCGGCCTCCCAAAGTGCTGGAATTACAGGCTTGAGCCATCATGCCCGTCCTTAAGTAAACTTCTTAGTACTCTATTCAAAATGTTCCTTTAGCCTCTTTTTACTGTCTAACTAATTTGTCTAAAACAAATAACTACACGCTAGAGGGACATACTTTCAACATAAGCTGCAAAGAATTTCTGGATTAAAAACCCCTCCCTGCACATGTGAACATAAGACCATAATTCAAAATTACAAAAATACACATAAAATCCAAGAATTGGCCAAAATTGAGAGACAGCAGACAAAAAAGATAGTAAGAATATATTTTTAAGAACTGTATATAATAAAATAAGTATATAAGACTTTATATAAAATAGATTATGTCTAAAATCACAGTATTAATAACATAAAAGAGACTAAAACATAAGCAAAGAGCAAG